GTTTGACCAGGTATCGGGAAGAACTAACCTCATAGAACACAGAATTAAATTAAATAAAGGCGTAACTCCCATTAAAAAGCGAGATTACCCACGTAATCCTGCAATGCAGCAGGTTATTAAGGAGGAAATATCCCAAATGCTTAGAGACGGAGTAATTGAGAGGTCGAATAGTAGTTGGTCCTCACCCGTTGTATTAATCCGAAAACCCTCAGGACGTTATCGATTTTGTATCGATTTCCGATCATTAAATCAGGTGTCAGAACTTGATGCCTATAACCTACCTCGTATCAACTCTATCCTAGATAAACTTAGGTCTGCCAATTTTATTACTACATTAGATCTCGCAAATGGTTACTGGCAGGTTCCATTAGCAGAGGAATTAAGCCCCTAACAGCGTTTAGTATTCAAGGCTTAGGGTTGTATCAGTTTACAGTTATGCCATTTGGTCTTCACTCTGCGCCGGCCACTTTTCAACGACTCTTAGACCAAATAATAGGACCGGAATTAGAACCACGAGCTTTCGCTTACTTGGACGATTTGATCTTAGTTTCTCAAACATTTGAAGAACACTTAGAGCTCTTAAAAGACGTTTTCCAACGGCTACGTACTGCTAGTCTTAAACTTAACATTGAGAAGTGTAAGTTTTGTCAGACAGAGCTGAAATATCTAGGACACATGATAAATTCAGAGGGTATAGGAACCGACCCCGACAAAGTTAGAGCTATCGTCGAGTATCCGCGCCCAACGACTGTAACACGTCTTCGTTCATTCTTAGGCCTTGCGTCATGGTACCGACGATTTATAGATACATTTTCGAAGATCGTCGCTCCTCTCACGGGCCTCTGAAAGAAAGGTGTGAAGTGGAATTGGAGTGAGAAACAAGAGAAAGCCTTCTGCGAGTTGAAAAATCGTCTCGTTTCGGCGCCTATTTTATCGTGTCCAGATTTCAGTCAAACATTTAAACTGCAGGTTGACGCGTCAGATGAGGGCCTCGGGGCTTCCTTAACTCAAAAGAGAAATAATGCCGAAGTTGTGATCGCGTACGCTAGTAGACTTCTGTCCAATGCTGAACGGAAATATACCGTTACAGAAAAGGAATGTCTCGCTTTAGTGTGGGCCGTTAAAAAGTTCCGACCATACCTAGAGGGGTACAAATTCATAGCTGTAACGGATCACATCGCCCTCAAATGGTTACTGCGACTCAAGGAACCGTCCGGCCGCTTGGCTCGTTGGGTATTAGAAATCCAACAATATGAATTCGAGGTCGAGTATCGTAAGGGAACGGCTAATAGGGTCGCTGATGCACTATCACGAAATCCCATTGAGCACCCGTGTGAAGATGTCCGAACAATGGTTTGCCCAATAATCGCGCAAACAGACGAAATTATCGAGCAGTCGGAACCAGATCATTGGTACGACACTTTGTTTAAAAAAGTAAACAAAAATCCGTCTTCGTATGAGAAATTTACAATCCGGGAAGGCAAGTTGTATAAGCTTGTCCGAAGAACCGGGAAATCGGGCGTGATGACGGAAAGCTGGAAACTTTGTGTTCATGCGTCAGACCGAATGAAAGTACTACACGAGACCCATGACTCACTTACTGCCGGTCATTTTGGGTTCAAGAAAACGGCGTCCCGAGTCGCTGAGAATTATTTTTGGCCGGGTTGGAGAAAAGAAGTTAGGCAATATGTAAAGACTTGTTCAAGCTGTCAACGATTTAAAGTCGAACAAGTAAAACCAGCGGGTCAAATGCACTACCGTCCACCGGGTGGACCGTGGCATACGGTGTCCGCAGACTTGCTAGGACCGTTACCGAGATCTAGAAAAGGAAATACATTCATAATCGCTTTTCAAGATCAATACAGCAAATGGGTAGAGATGGCACCTCTGAGATGTGCCACGGCCAAAAACGTGACGGACAAATTTAAGGAGTTAGTACTACTACGATATGGGGCACCCGAGACATTAATAGTTGATAATGGTACCCAGTTTTGTGCGAAACTCTTCCAAGAGATGGCTAGGGATTGGAACGTGTCCTGTCAACAGACGGCTCCGTATAGTCCTCAAGGCAACCCGATTGAACGGCGAAATAGAGTGATTAAAACTCTCGTAGCACAGAGTGTTAGGGGTGATCACAGGACGTGGGACGAACACCTTCGCGAGATTTCGTTCGCGATAAATACAGCTACCCATGACTCGACACAGTTCACGCCGGCAATGCTATGTTTCGGCCGCGAGCTTCGAACGCCTAGGGCGTTACACGGACCTTCATTTGAACGGACTTCGGAGTTAGGCGAGGTGGAGCGTGTGGAACAACACGCCCAACGGATGCAACGGTTTAAAAGGTTGTACGATACCACACAACGGAACCTACAAACTGCTTTTAACGTACTCGGAGATGTCAAAACACTCCGAAAGGGGATAGGCGCGGCCATCAGAAGGGGACGTCTCAGCGATGAAAATTTTGAGATCATAGAACCATCGACAGCCAGGGAAGTCGAATTAAGATTTGTGGGAACAGAACCGGCACAAATGACACGCTTGGGGGTCACAGGTCCGGCCGGGAAGGACGTCGTCTTCCAGATGGAAGACAACGTGAGTTTCAGTCATTATAGACAATTCAAAGAAGCCCCAAAATTTGTTAAAACGAATCCTAAGAGGGAAGTATCGGTGTCCCCCGTCCTGACACTTATGGTTGATGATGATGATCTTCAGGTGGTGAACGACCCTTCCATTATTGAGCCACCACCGGATCCAATATCGCCTCTTCCGCTATCCCCGAAACCATTGCAAAAGTGTGACAAATCGCCCGGGATAGGACGAGAAACGTACGCGAGGGGGCAATCCCAAAACGACGAATCATCTGAGACTATTGGCTACCGAAGACGACGAAAATCTAAACATTTCAAAGTCCGACGCTGGAGAGAAGACGGAACATGGTACCGCGAAAAAGTCTTGAAGCCTCAGTTTCGAAGGCAGGATGATTAAGGATTTTTTTTGTTTTGTGTTCAGAGGAAAAATTTTTAGTTTCAAGAAGAGTTTTCGTTCTTTTTAATGTCGTGAGTGACATTACTTATAGGAAGATCTAAGTTTGTTTATGCAGGGATGCTGCAGTAAAGTATTTTGTTCCTGAAGTAAGAGAATTTTTTTTGTTGGTTTTTTTTCCACCCCGAACTAAGAAGGGGGTGTAACGGTTAAATATTGAGTGTAGGACCGTTGCCGTTCGCAATTCAAATAGCGCGGGGTTGTAGTTCACCGAGCGGCCACGCACTGCACCAGCGTCGCGACCCCTATATAAGCAGCACGGGACAAGGGCTAATGACTTACTTGAGCGCTGGGCGAATAGCTAGCTACATCTCTCCCTGGTAAGTGGAGTGGAGTATATATCGCGAAACCTTAGGTCGAGGGCGGAATAGCCCGGTAATAACCAGTGGTGGAATAACCCTGGAAGCGACGAACACTAGGGTTAGGCTGAGGGCGGAATAGCTCTCGGACCGCGTATTGCGAGACGATAGGTCGAGGGCGGAATAGCCCGGTAAATACACCAGTGGTGAAATAACCCTGGTAGCGTCGAAACCTAGGTGTTAGGCCGAGGGCGGAATAGCTCTCGGATCCGCGCATATCCGTCGCGAAGCCGTAGGTCGAGGCCAGTGGTGAAATAACTCTGGTGTCGTCGAATAGTAGGTGTTAGGCTGAGAGCGACAATCGAATCGGTTAATTGTAAGTATAATTGGTTTTAATTCTAAGAGTGAAACACGGTAAATCCATTAATTAGAAGTTTTTATTTTATTTTCGAAGTTAATATTTTAGTTTATTTACGACCAGTGTTTCACTCACGGAATTAACGCCTAATTATTAATTTGTTTAAATTAGGGCCTAACCCGGGCAGTGATGAATGTGTCATTCACTGAAAGCTGATGCTTTAACGACCATATCTGAGCCCATATTTTAAAACTTAACTATTATTATTACTACTAACCCTGGACTAACTCAATTAAATTAGCAATCCGAGGCCGACAGTACAATTTTGTCCCAGGACGAAATTTCACCGTCACAAAGCCGCGGCCAGGAGTTAAATAAAGGTGGCCGTGACTCTACCCTACCTACTCAGTCAGTACAGTACAGTACATATTACATAATGAGGACCCGAGAATCCAAGTATCAGTACATTCCGAAATTCAAGATTAAAAAGAAAGGACATAATCACGATGTGTCGACTACGTTTGGGACATGCAAATGTGAATAAATCTCTATCCCTCATTAAAAAGTATTTTACGCCACTCTGCCTTAGCTGCACAATGGGCCGCAATGAATCGTTGAACACCTGATTATAGAATGCCCAGCACACGAATCAGCCAGGAATAAATGTTTTAAATCAACAAAGAAGATAATACAGAAATGTAACAGCTTCCAAACTCTCTGAACTAACGAAACCACAGTATATCAAGAAATCATATATTTCCTCATACACATAAAGAGAACAATTTAAACAAAAAACAAAACCAAATACTCACAAAATTCATTCCAATCCTTGGTTTCTTCATCCTTGGGCCTCCTTTTCGGGATGGTAATGCTTGACAGCCCTCAAGCGAGAAGACTCCAACCCAACCCCTCTCCCAACTATTCCATCAAGGCCTTAGAATCCTACTAAATCCCATCTATTATCTTGACACAACAAAAACCAAAATTAAATTTGCCACCAAACTAAAACAATATCCTCAACGATTCCATGTCAATACTAATTACAGAGACAGAATCGTCAAATAAATTAGTGCACAACGAGGCTGCATAAGCCTGCTTTCGAGCAAATAAGATAAAAAAAAGTATCAGTACAGACCAACAGACAGATTTACTGATTGGATTCGATTGAGTGAGACCATTGAGATAAATAAAATATAGAAATAGATTGAGTCATTGAGTGAGACTGAGGCAGAGACGAGAGTGAGAGATAGACAGACAGACAGACTTACTGACTAGACTACTACTACTACTATCTGACATACATGGACACTATTACCCAAGAAGATCAAGAACCGAAGAACCTCGAACTTGAACCAGAAATTAAGAAACTCAGAAAGAAATAGACCAGTTTATTTAAAACTTACAAGTACAAGTGCAATTTCTTAAATTCTCGGTTTGTGTGCGTGCATTCAAGTGATAGCCTATCTTTTTATGGCAGAGGCATACATTTTCCATCAACCGAAGTTGTTTTCATAACCTAGGCCCATGAATTGTGTATCTTCAGCATCCTTAAAAATTGGCCGATTGACTTTTATCGTATGATATTTGGACAAAATGCTTAAATCGAGGTTAGTACACATTTTTACAATTGTTACTATTTACAACAAAAGTTAAATATTTAATCGTTTTTTGTTTTCACTACATTCAAAGAAAAGGGTACAAGGGTATGTACAATTTAGAGTGACTTTCTCTGTTTGGGAAGAATTGAGGTCACATAATATTTTATTGTTTTTGGTAGCCTACAGGCTCGGTCATCTAAGGGCCTCAATAGAACAGAGTTCTTATTGACAGACAGTGGGTAAGTTACTAACTTATAGACTCCTTTTGGGGAACTTAGGCTACTTGTTTGTTTTACCTCGAGATAGGCGTACCCTACTACCTAGTCTACATAGCCTGAAAGGCATCAGTCTTATTGCCTCATTGTTAATTGCTGATCTATTGCCAGTCTCAAGTTGATCACCGTTAATGTGGTGACAATAGCCTAGTTTAATTTGTAAGATATGTACCAAAAAGTGTCAAAGGTTGAATAAGTTATTGTCCTCAGCCTATTAAGATCATCTAGCTATTGGCGACACAGCTGTAGGTTACCTAATTAATAGAATCTCAACGATTAATAATTTAATTATTTAGTTGCCTTCTTAGGCCTACAGTATGGTAGGCCTAAACTTATTTTTCATGTTGAAACGAAAATATAATCCGATCGTTTATAACAGTAAAAGTCTTAAGTACTTAAGTTAAGAAGGAAATCAAATTGTAGGTTAGGCTACATCAGTCATGAAATCGCTCCAACAACTTGGGTTTTAACATCAGGCTAGGAATAGCTTTAAGTTATGAAAGGCTAGGGAATGATGAGCAAAATAAGATTCATTTAGTAGTAGGCCTAAGTTAAATTTAAAGGCATTTAACAGAATGCAAAGATTACCCAATGTCAGTGACACAGTAGCCTATTCTGCATTTTCCAAGAATCCTTTTTATTCTAATCATATAGGCTAGGTTAGTCAGTTTTTGGACAGTGGTGAGCATTCCTATAGGCTACACTGGAAAATTTACGACTAGGCCAAGTCATACACCACGTGATTCTATAATGGCTTAAGGGTGTGTCAAAACATACCTTTACAGATTCACCAATCCTCTTAACGACCTGGGATAAAAATAGGGGAGGAGCTTCCAGCTGCACTGGCCCCTTCTATAGCCTAATGTGTTTTTAACACTTTTGTCGCCGTGGTCTGATATATTGGACGTCTGCTTAAAAAATGTTTACTGGCCACCTCTAAGATTAAAAGCCACAAATAACACACCAATTGAATCAGCATTGTTTAGGTTTCATTTAGCAAGAGCTTTGACTGCCTTTGTTTGTGTTTTTTTCTCGTGGTGGACGAGATTTCCCGAGATGGCGCAGTCTGATGTTTTTCATCAGTGATCGTGTGTTTGTAGATAGCTTCTTAATACTTTTATGTTGTTCTGATGCGTTTTAGTTAGTACTGTAAATATGAGTAAACGTGGTCGAAATAAGTCGCCAGTGAGTGAAGACACAATATTTCATAACTTGACAGAGAGTGGTGTGAAATTAGACGATGGTGAGTTGAGTGATGATTTCATAAATTAAATTGATTCGTCGTCTCCAGAACCACCGAAATCGTGTTCTGATTATGATTTGGATGAAACAGATGATTTTCTCCCTGATTTATTTGGGAATGAGACAGATGAAGACCCTAATTATGTACCTTCTACAGATGGACCGTACACAGTTCTGAGGAAGAAATTGATCTGAACCTTCCAACTTGTAATCAGTTTGTATCCTATAAGTCTAGTACTGGTCCTAAGCGACCTCTAGGTAAGCCTAAAAAGTACTGCTCCTGCTGTTCCTACAGCTACAACACCAATAGATAGTGACAGCTATAGATAACTTAGTAAACGAACATAGACCTAATATACCTCATGAAAGACATTCTAAAGAAGCCCATAATCTGGGACACTGTTGAGGAAGAAACTGATTCTTTCCTTCATTCTTTCATATGTATGATGAAATTCCTGGCACAAAACAATGCCTTGATGGTACTGATAGGCCTATTGATTATTTTAATTTATTTTTTACATTGAATCTGCTAAATAGTTTTGTAGAAATGACAAATCTTTGTGCCAGAAATTACCTCAATCACATGCAAATCTGTCCCCATGAAATTATTCGTAGGGTAATTTATTCTAATTTCCAAATATAGTCTCAACTCTTATTTCGAGTGGCTTTGATGATCGCTTTTTAAAGGTACGGTAAGCTAATATGGTTGTTAGCATTTTGTGTAATTAATATTCTGAGCCAATAAACTCGAAACGATAGGCTAATTAATTTAGGAACATGTTAGAATCCTGGACTTTTGGGGCAATGAGGGGGAAGAGCCTGCATAAGACAGAATGGAGGACATTTAGAAAATAAACTGAAATAAATCAGGTGTGAATTGTGAGAGTGATCAAATCAAATAGTTTATTGAGCCAGAATTAACAATATATACAATTTGTTTTGGCTAGGTCATCATAAATAAAGGTTGAAATGAAATGAATACTTACTTGAATACTTACTTGAATACTTGTAGTTTCCGTCCGTAGTCCAGGGCAGGAATTGGACAGGTCAATAGGTATACAGTAATAGGCTAATAATAAAAAATAACTTATAATAAACTTATAATAAAATCACATCCTAGGCCAAAGGGCTCTGTTTTTTAAATTTAGAAAATCTTCCACATCATAAAAACCATTTTTTGTCAGGAAAGACTTGGTTTCTGTTTTGAATTTTGAGAGTTTTTGAATGTTTTGAAGTTGTTTTGGCAGTGCTTGGAAAAGTTTTAAACCGGAATAGTGAGGTTTTTGTTCAAACAATTTTAGTCTGTGTTGTTGAGCATGAGTTCCTTTGTTTCTAGTGTTGTATTTGTGATCTATGAAATGAGGTTGAATGTGTTGTGATTTTATGTATACTACTGCTTCGTAGATGAATATGCATGGGACAGTTAAGAGTCCAAGCTGGATGAATGCATCTCTGCAGCTGGCATCTGGTGGCATGCCTAGGATGGTTCTTATTGCTTTTTTTTGCCAGACAAAAACTGTTTCCAAATTCTTTTTGGTGGAAGAACCCCACAAAATGATGGAATATGAAATGTACTGCTCGAACAGTCCGTGATAGACGAGCCTGGACAGATCATCGCTGCCGTATGACCTCATCCTACGTAGAATGAATAGTCCTCGAGCAAGCGATCTCTCTAATCCATAAATGTGCTCGCCCCATCCGAGTCTATCAACTTTATTCATACTTTGCAATCATGTGCACGAATGGCGTCATTATATTGGATCAAAATCATAATGCTTAATCCCAAAAAAGTACAAGATATAATCACTATTGAAAAAGTTCTTATTCTAATATATTATGTAGGAGGAAATTGTTGGCTTACATATACTTTTTACTGAACAATTTACAAAGTCTTATACATTACTTACAAATAGGCCCTAATACAGTTTTATACATAAATATTTAGGCTACACCACTATTCTTTAAACTGATTTTATTTACAAATTCTTAGATGCTGTAACAGGTAAACTTGATCAACAAAGATTTTAATTGTTTTTAAATTTTAACAGGTTTGGTTAAGGATAATGAGAAAGTGGAAGTGAATTAGAAAGTGTTATGCCATTGTGCAGTAAGAGTTTCTTGAAAAAGTGTTGACTGTTTAGGAATAGGTAATGTGAGTGAATTGTGCAATGTGTTTTGGTGTTTTACAGAACAGTCAAATTGAGAAAATTCCTGTCTCAAAAAAGTTAAAAGATTCAAGAATGTAAACAGATGGGAATGTCAAAACTTTTGAATTGAAAAAATATTCACGGTATGTTTTGCGCCTTTTCAGAAAGAAAATAGTTCTCACAGCCATTTTTTGGAGTTTAAACAACATTTTAGTCTGCTGGCACTCACATCCCCAAATAGGAACGGCATGCTAAGTGAGGATAAATGAACCCATAGTATGCCGTCAGCAATATCTCCAGATTCTCATTGTTCCTGAGGTTACGTAAAACAAAAATACCAGAGCTGATTTTTTTTTTTATGTATTTGATATGGCCATGAAAACTAAGTTTCTCGTCCAAGGTCAATCCAAAAAACTTGATATTAATTGAAAAAAAACACAAAAAAAAACTTGATATTGATAGGGTGAACCTTAGTTTTGTCCAGAAGGAAACTAAACTCTTTGGTTGATCTTTCATTGGATGATGTCTTCTTTTATACATTTTAGTATTGTATCTTTGTTTCTTTGTATGAAAGGCAAATTAGACGTATTAGAACCATAAAACCCTAAAAACCTAGAGCACCTAAAAAGCCTAAACAACCTAAAAACTTTCTGGAATGGAAATTCCAAATTTATTTCCTTAACCTCAATCTGCAATTGGGAAGGGAGGGGGAGGATTGATCACGATTTCTAAGTAGTATTAATATAATTTCATTTTAAAGCCTTCCCATGTTTTAGTCAAAAGAGACATTGTTGACTTTATGATTAAAACTTCAATAACTTATCAGTAAAGTGATAGGTACTTCATGATTGCTTATCATCTGGTTTTGTTGATAGCATTGTAAATGCGCTTTGTAGCCCAGTTGGCAGGTAGAAAAAAGATGTTTTAGATGGAAAAAGGTCTGAAGTTAATGAAACTTAGGGAAAAAAAGAGGATGGGGGAAAACTTCAAAATTGTCGACACTTTTTTGCTTTTCTCTCAATAACTTTTCCCCCTTACTTCCTACCGAAAAAGCATACCTTACACTTTTGTAGAGCTTTAAATTTCCTACAATTCTACAGCTGAACTGTACGATAATGTTTGTACGATAATTTTTACAGAGCAATAGGCTAGTATTTTTATTTTAATGTATTTTTTTATCCACCAAATATGCAAAAAAAGCAGAATTCTAACTTATTTTTTCTGTTACACACAAATTATCATGAAATTTTGTAGTTATTATGGTTCCAAGTTATAAGCACCATCTCTGGATACAACCTCCCCCCACTCACTCCACCCCAACACCCACCCTTTCCAAACCTATCCCCAATTCTCAAAACCTAATTTTCTTCTCCGATGAAAACCTTTCAGACCTTTCACAGAATCAGAGCTGAGTTGTTCACAACTACCTACTGCGTGGAAGAAAGGAGCAGGAACTTGGAGGGTAGATGACGTTGGGATTTTTGCCTTTTTCACTTTAATGAAGATAAACATTATTTGTGTTAGTTCCTAATGCTGTCAACAGAAAAAGTAGGCCGTCTAGGCCTACATCTTGAGCAGTAATGACGACGCTGTCGAATTCACTAGCCTTGGATATGGCAGTGTTGATGATCATCACGTCGACGTCCTCATCTGCTTGCTTCATTTCTATGCTAGCATCCGCCATTCGTGTCATCAACATAGAACTGAATGCGCTCTTGTTGATAACGTTTGTCAAGAACCTTTTTTTGTATAGTCACCACAGTAGACGAGAACACGACTTTGGTTGCTGACTGTAAATGCTGAACAGCAAAATCGTTCTGCGGCTTTGGTGCTTTTATATCCAGCATTAGTGGGGTATCCATTAAATACAACGACAATCACTTGGCCCCTAAAGTGTCTCTGCACGTAGTTGATGTACGTTGAACATAGCATCTCAAATAGGGTTGTAGAGTTTAATTCCACACCACTTTATGTAACCTCCATCCTTTATAGAGGATACCTTAATTACGTTACATTTCCTGTTGACAAGGTTTACTTTCTCTTTAGGAGTGAAGAGTGTGTAGATTACAGACTTAGTTCTCTTGCGCATTCCTTCCTCGGTAAAGATTGATGTAGGGAAGGGGGCGAGTTTATACTAAAAGAGCTTGTCTATCCTTAGATCTTTTTGCAATGCAGACAAACTGGAAAAGAGTAAGAGGACCGACAGTGAGTTTTTTACCAGCAATTTTCAAGGAGGATGAAACGGAAGTGAGAGTCATGACTTTACCCTTCCGTTTGAATTTCAATTCTTCAAAATTTTCACCAACCATTTTCATCATGCATGATATGCCTATCTCTCGTGCTCAAAGAAATCTCCTGGATGTGAGGGAATTGGGGATGTTCAGTGAACCATGCGAGCAGTTTATCAATGTCCATGTTGTCTCTCACTACATGGGTTGGTCTCATGTCTCAATGTTGCTCATATGTCTCTGAGCGAATATCAGCAAACAATTCTACTTGTTCACAAATGCTTTGAAGACACAGCATGCCTAATGTACATCTAGAAAGCACAGAATCGCTTACTCCATGTCCACAAGTGAGTCCTCCATAGCTCTTCATAGCCCGCGTGAGGAGCATATCTGGTAGGCTACCAACCAAACGAGACTCAATCCAATATATAATTGTAAGCTACACAGCGCAGCAGTGCGGCAACACGGTAGAGTTTAAGGCAAAAACTAGCGAGCAAAAATTAGTGAAGACAGAAAAAACACATCTAACAACCTTGCAGGCTGATGGATGTGTTGGTGATAGTAAGTATATAACTCACAATAAGTACAAACTACACAAACACAACAAACACACAAACTGTACAGTAAGTACAAACTAATCAATTATAATTGTGAAATATTCTTGGCCTATAATACATAGAAGATTATGTAATATTGTGGTAGTGTGAAACCGGGGTGTAGGAAGCCACCTTGATCAGCTGAGTGATGGGTGGGTGAGGTATGGGGGTACCCAGAGATGGTGCTTATAAGTAGGAACCATAATTACTACAAATTTTCGTGATAATTTGTGTGTAATTGTAATATAAAAAATAAGTGGGAATTCTGATTTTTTTCATATTTTTGTAGATAAAAAAGTTTTTCTCCCATCCTCTTTTTTCCTCAGGGTCCTCGAGGTCCAAAACTTGGGAAAATGTTGATTTATCATCCCTGAACAACATCCCCAAGTTTCATTAACTTCCGACCTTTTTCCATCTAAAACTACCTGCTGACTAGACTATTGTGATAAAAAAAAAAATTATTGATCCACGCTCTATCCAAAGGAATAAGGCAACAGAAATTTTCTCTATACGTACAAACAATACAGGCCAATAGCTAAAACCGTTATAAGTACATTAAACAAGATAGGAATTGTTATCTTGAATTTGATTGTGTCAGTAGAGTGTTTCAAAACCTGTAGGCCAAAGGTAAGCATAACTCATCACATTTACCATTGATGTACACTTGATAGTTATGTATTCCATGCACAACTTTGTATCGTCAGGATTTTAACTCAGGGTGTCTACAGATCTAAGTATCTTTTGATCCCCGAGAAAAGTCCCTGATATTTCAGGTTAGCCTCGGACCTCTTTGCAAGGCAACAGAGTTTTGTAAAGAATTCCATTTTTTTTCAACTTATTGTATATGTTTTGATTGTTTAACTAGGAAGTAGGAAATCGTATGAACCACAAGATATTTGTATGCTTATGTAATGTTTTTTTAAAGAGTTTTAACGTAATGAGTGAGGTTAGGTGTAGTTGATTAACTAATTTAATTTGTTTTAATGAGAAGTGTGTGATATGCCAAGTCAACAAATTAATGTTTTTGTCAGCTGACAACAGTCTGTCTTGTAACAATAAAGAAATATTTTACTAGGCCTACACTTAACTGTGACATGAGTAAAAAATTCAAAATTTACCACTGTTGGCCTGGTATAAATGTTGCACAATTTAAAATCTGTCTAGTAGTTTTCACTGCATCCATTTTTAGTTTGTCTACTATTCAATCTTCAAGTCAAAGGTGAATGAATAATGCAAAACACATCATTGTATTCAAAAATTTTAATTTGCTGGCATTCAGTGGATCAGAAGTCAAGTAGTAGATGGAGCTTTAAGGCAGAGAGGGGGTGCTAGTTGTTTGAGTGCAAATTATATCATTTGAATGAATACTCAAGATGCACCAACATTAAGTTTTGCTTGACCTTGAGATTGGTCTAAATAATTTACAAGTTTGAAATACTGTTGACCTAAATATTGTGACTTCAAGATTACTCAAGCTAAGCTAAAGATAGACTTCCAGAAATATATTTCTGACACCAGTTTTAGGATAAACTCTATAAAACAGTGTTGATAATAGGTAAAAGTCGAGTGTCGAATCTCAGTCTTTAAAGATATCTACAGTTTTTTTATTTTTTTATTTATTTATTTACGGATTTAAATCGCCATTTGTACAATCAATTACATCCATAACAATTTGTGGATTAATTAATACTATTATCATGCTGTATTGAACTACTATACAAGAACTACTATACAAGAACTACTATACAAGAACTACTATACAAGAACTACTATACAAGAACTACTATACTAACTGAACTTACTATACAGTGTTGAATTGGCAAAGATAGTGTCAGACGATTCAGATGTGTTGCAGCAGAAATCTATCGTTGGGGCAAACTACAATTCAATTTGAATCATATCTTTGCCATTGGGAGATTTAATCTGCTATAGCAATCCATCTATGGGACAAGCTACAACTCAACTACAGGCAACGCATTCACATTTTTGCCAACAGTCTTTTACTATTTCAATGATGTGGTTATCTCCCAATGACAAAGATTCATCAATCTAATTTGACTGTGATAGCCTACATTGTTGTTAGACTACCTATATCATCTTAGTTTGGTTAAGGAAAGCAGGTGTGATGGAACATGGCAACCAAGCTGACAACTACATGGTACAGTGATAATATAAAATGTAGTGATATTGATCACTAGCCGCTTCATGTATTTTGGAAATTAAACTGTTAAAGACTTAAGTGACTGTGCAAAAAGATATAAAGTTCTACAAATAATATTCGATATTAATAGTATTATATTTATATTTATATTTCTTGGAGATATCAATTCAGAGTAAGGCAATATTCATAACGATATCTTGAGCTGATGGTGTAGACTTAAGACAGCCACATACCCACTACTTGACTAGAGAAATCATGAAATTAATAACCATTATGAATTTTTGCAAGTATAGTAATTTAAAATGTATTTTACAGATGCTCAGGAGAGCTGAAAAAAGATGTTTCCGCTGCGGGGTCATCTTACTGTGCAGTATATTTTGTCTCCTTGCACTCTACTCACCAGTGTACCAGCCATCTACACAGAGAGAAGGTGAGCCATACGAGTGTCAATTCAAACTTTATTGTCACAAGAATGTTTGTATATGGCTATAAAAACAGGGGACATTGTCAAATTATAATAAATACATAGTTGGTCGATCTTAACCCTCTAGGTGTCAATCGACGTAATTATGGCGACGATTTTTTCGCCACAAGTGTCAATCACCGTAATTACGGCGACTTGACAGGCCTACGGTTTCAGTTGGTATAATCCCACAAGATCGAACAAATCCGGTCATTGGGCATACTAAAGTGTTCAGGAGATTCTGGGCTTCATGGTGAGTATAAAAGACGGCCGTTTCCCGAACTATTTATCTTGTTCTGTGATAGTTTTTCCATATGTCATTGTTTGTTTCGGTTGCTAGGGAACGAATGTTTACGTTGTACTGTTGTTGTGTGTCGTGATTTTTAGAGTTATTATAAAGAAACACAGAGTTAAAGTACATATATTCTTTTTTCTTATTACATTTAGAATAAAAATGTATATCTCAGTTTTTGTAAATATAGTAATTTTTGTTACATGTGCGGTTATGTAAAAAATTAAAAACCTTTTTTGGAACATCTGGATTTGAACAAACAACAAATTGCTTTTATAAAAAGTAAGACACAAATATCATACTAAATTCTTAGATAGACAATTGTATTTGCTTTAAGAAAATATAAAATGTTTTATATCCATGTCATCATTTAGATTTTTTAATCAAGCTCCGCAAAAGTCTCGAAAATTGAGTGACATTTACAGGTTTTTAATGCGACACCTAGAGGGTTAAATTCTAAAGTTTAAAATAAAAGGCTGACTTTGATTTTAAAAGTATTTTCCAATAAATATTTATTAATATGGTAGTAGTTTTTTGTCTACCATAAATATTCTTTTTAAATGTAATTGTATTGGCTATATTTTTAAACCTACTGGTAACTTATTGTACAACCTTTTTCCCATGTATGTTGGTGTCTTTTCAATGAGACACAGATGATGGATTGGTAACTGAAAATTATTTTTAAACCTTGTGTTATATCTGTGGTCATAGTTGTCATTTAAAACCTAGGTATAGCAGTTTAGTGCTGAGATGAAATATTTCTAGAAATATCCATAAGGATTGCCTTATGATCAGATATACCTAGTTCTAGGTTCGTTTGTGGAGTTTCTAAAAATGATTTTAACTTTAGTGAAAGTATATTATCAATACAAGAAGCTTTATTGTTTGTTATCCTTGTGGGAGAAGTAAAGTTTGTAATAAAACCGTATGTCTATCAAAGAAAGAAACTCATATCTTTCCTGTTAGTCCAGTGAATAGAGGTATGTTGACTTACAAATGGTCCGGTAAGTATACATTTTTTATATGTTGTCTAGGATGGTAAGTAGGTGTTTAAAATGAAAAATGCACAATTCTCCCCCCTCCGCGCCCGCCGACATATTGAAAAATGTAAAAAACCGGTTCTTTCTAGAGATTTTCGCCTATATCTCCGTTTAGGTGCGTTTTGGCGTGTGTTTGGTGAAATATATGTAATGTCAATGTTGTAGACAATTAAATTTCCTATAATATAAGTATAACAATTTGGTTCTAAGTTCTAAGACTTATGGATATGAAAATATTTAACTTTTTTTACAATAAAACGTCAAATTTTATTTTCATTTTGCCAAATCTCTATTAGTTCAAGCAAACTAAAAAAACTGACACTGGGAACGTTAAAAAAATTGCAAGAAAACGTTTTATGGTTTTATTTTGTAGTGTTGTGTCTGCAGAGTGACAGACTAAAAGTTGCCAAAAATCGGTCTACAGAAAACCTTCCAAAATCACGATTAAAATTGGCGGCTTTTTCCCAACATTGGACAAATTTGAAAAAAAATATACCACATGCATATTTTATTCAAAATTTTTTGAGATATTGACTTGGGACAACCACCGAAGTTTATTAGGGGGTTAGTAGGCTACTTCATTTCCATAGGGAACTAATTTTTGGTCGCCATCTTGGATCCGCCATATTGGATAGGCCTATATAAATAAAAAAATTAAATGTAATGATAACGTTGTTACACATCATTATAAACTAGATTTTCACGCTGATTTCAATGCCGAAATCTGTTTTTAAATATCTGTTTACGTTTTGAAGATATATTCAAACAAAAACTCTCCCCCATACATTTCTTATGGACGTTTCGTACTTTCAAGATTTTCAAGATCATTTTTCTTATATCTCTAGTTCTTATCAACGCTTGCAGTTCAGTCTAGCAATAAATATTCTGCTATTCTGAATATTATTTAAATATTCTGTGATGTAAGGGCTTTCATTTGACCTATCGATGAATCGATTGAGTTAGCAACGAGATACAATCCCCAAAACAATATTAAATTTAACTTTTTAAAAATCTTTTTATATTAAAAGATTTATATCTCACGTTGTTAATACGTCACCAAGTTCTTTGTGGTCTCAAGCTACTCTTTTGCTTTAATTTTATTGATCATTTAATAAAATCTGACAAATTAAAAATGAGCAGAGTGCATTTAACCAGGGCCGTCCGAAGGGGGGGGCAACCGGGGCAAGCTGCCCCGGACGCCGCCGCTGCGGGGGCGCCGCGCAGGGGCTACTGGTATTAACCCAAAATTTCGGGAAATTTTTGGGAAAAATCCCGATTATCAGGACGTGATTACATTTGATTCGGGAATTTTTTGGGACGGGATTTGATCCGATCATCGGCGATTTTACCACTTTGCGAGTGACGATGACGCCGCTATCGCGAGTGATGTAATTCCACGAACGCAGGAGGCGAAGTCATTTCTACGATCGCACCGTGACCGCAAGTCATTTGGACGATCTCGCCGTGACCGCGGAGTCATACCGACGATCGCATCGTGACCGCGGAGTCATACCGACGATCGCATCGTGACCGCGGAGTCATACAGACAATCGCGCCGTGACCGCAAGTCATATCGACGATTCCGTCGTGACCGCGAGTCATACCGACGATTCCGCCGTGACCACGAGTCATACCGACGATAACACCGTGACCGCGAGTCATACCGACGATAACGCCATGACCGCTAGTCATTCCGACGATTCCGCCGTGATCGCGAGTCATACCGACGTCACCACGACCACATTTGTCCCGGGCGCCGCTAACCCTAGGGACGGCCCTGCAACAAACAGAGTTAAATGTGTGTATATATATAGCATTTAACATAAAATTATTTTTATTTTGAAATTTGTCTTTAGTTAAATACTTATATCCCCAATTATAAATAAATCCAAAAACCCCTTATGGTCTTAAATAATTTGTCAAAGTACTGACTTTTATTTTAGCTAAAGATTACTTATTGATTGTAATTTATAATTGGGTATATATGTCTTAATCCAAAGACAAATTTCTTCAAAATTTTAATAATAATAATAATTATTTAATCAAAAGTACAGATTTTTTGGATTTTTCAATATGGCGGCGGGTGCGGAGGGGGGAGACTTGTGCATTTTCATTTTAAACACCTACTTACCATCCTAGACAACATATAAAAAATTTAGACTTACCAGACCGTTTGTAAGTTAACCCCCCTATTTTTGTCTCTATTTACTGGACTATGTGGTTTACTTGTGCTTTCCAAGACATCAATATTAAAATCCGCTGCAATGTAAATATTATTTATATTGTTGCCTTTGTTTAGAATTTTTAATAAATCTTCAAAACTTATATAAAAACAATTTAAAATTAGAATGATCTGGTACCGGTACTCTGTAAATGGAGATAACAATTATTTTCAAATAGATAATCTCTACACATGATATTTTGAAAACAGAATCTGAATTTAAAATACATAAGTCTTTCCTAATTTTATATTCTAATTTACTATTTAAAAGTAAAAATGAACCACCATAACCACAGTTTTCTCCGCAATAAAAATGTGCCAAATTTTAATTTTCAAAGCCAGGCCTATTTAAAATATTAATATTTCCTTTACTTAACCATTGTTTATTTATTCAAATCATAAGAATCTTTTAGCTATCTAAAATTAGCTCTAAATCTAATTTGTTATCAAAGAAACCACATTGAATATTTAAACACAATATCCAGTTATATTTCTTATCTACTTTGATTTCCTTACACACAGGCCATAAACTATTTAGGCCTAAATTGTTTTTTTTTTTTAACTTTGAAATTGGTTGCAAAATAAAGAAAAATTGTCTACATTTAAATGATTTGTATAAGCTAGTTTATCAATTTGTTATTTAAGAGAACTAGGTTATCATTGACATTATAAATTAGAGCTGCATTAGTGAAGGTGTCGACACACCTTCAAGGTGTCGACACACCTTCAAGGTTGACCTCAACCTCAAGTAGTGGCGTAGGGGTGTTGACCTCAACCTCAGGTAGTGGCTTAGTGTTGTTGACCTCAATCTCAGGTAGAAGTGTAGGGGTGTTGATAGTGATGTGGGCCGGGCAAATGCCCAGTGGGCGGGTCGTTTATAAATGGGCATTTGTCCGGGCATTTGCCCAAAGCGATTTTAAGCGCCCAAAAACTGGGCGTTTATAAAAAGTTCAGTTTAAGGCGTAATACAATAAAACCTGTAATATTTTCAGTGTGGTATTTTAAATAAATAATTTTCTAAATTGTTAAATAAAATCTTATATACTGATTAAGCAGGTTTCTACTCTGTAATTCATAAATATGTGCATAAGATAAATAAATGATGTCTAATTAATTAAATTTAAAGTTAAGTATTAAGGTTTTGTTAGTAAAACAAGTGCTAAATTAATTCTATTACATTAGCCAGATATTGTTATTTTTATTATTATTTTTTATTATTATTTTTATTTTAAATAAAAATAAACCTATGAAGTTATTTTCAGTCTAAATTATTTCCTCTTGTCGACAAAAGAAAAGTGTTGACTTTCTAGTACCAACTTCCTACCAATATAGTATTTTAAATAAATAATTTTCTAAATTGTTAAATAAAATCTTATATACTGATTAAGCAGGTTTCTACTCTGTAATTCATAAATATGTGCATAAGATAAATAAATGATGTCTAATTAATTAAATTTAAAGTTAAGTATTAAGGTTTTGTTAGTAAAACAAGTGCTAAATTAATTCTATTACATTAGCCAGATATTGTTATTTTTATTATTGTTTTTTATTATTATTTTTTTTATTATTATTTTTATTTTAAATAAAAATAAACCTATGAAGTTATTTTCAGTCTAAATTATTTCCTCTTGTCGACAAAAGAAAAGTGTTGACTTTCTAGTACTGACTTCCTACCAATATAATTAAAATTATACAAGTAGGCCTAATTTTTTTTTTTTATATAGGCTATTATGTAAATATCTAATGTTAGAGGTTTAAAAGGTTGACTAGAAGAGTAGTGTTCAATTTAATTTCCATTAATTAGGTTTATTAGCCTTTAACTGGATAAACACCCGGCGCTTATGGATTTTGGGCTGTTATATGGGCAAATTCCCTGGGTATTTGCCCCGAGATTTAAACGCCAGGGCGTTTTACATCACTAGGTGTTGACCTCAACCTCAAGTAGTGGCGTAGGGGTGTTGACCTCATCCTCAGGTAGTAGCTTAGTGGTGTTGACCTCAATCTCAGGTAGAAGTGTAGGGGTGTTGACCTCAACCTCAAGTAGTGGCGTAGGGGTTTTGACTTCAATCTCAGGTAGTGGCTTAGTGGTGTTGACCTCAATCTCAGGTAGAAGTGTAGGGGTGTTGACCTCAACCTCAAGTAGTGGCATAGGGGTGTTGACCTCATCCTCAGGTAGTGGCTTAGTGGTGTTGACCTCAATCTCAGGTAGAAGTGTAGGGGTGTTCACCTCAACCTCAAGTAGTGGCGTAGGGGTTTTGACCTCAATCTCAGGTAGAAGTGTATTGGTGTTGACCTCAACCTCAGGCAGTGGCGTAGGGGTGTTGACCTCAACCTCAGGTAAGTGTAGGGGTGTTGACCTCAACCTCAGGTAGTGGTGTAGGGGTGTTTAATTCAATTCCAGGTAATGGTGTAGGGGTGTCGACATAAACCTCGTTAGACCCACAAGAAGTGTAGGTGTTGTGGAGTGGTGGTGTTTTCAACTGTTTCACTAGCTGAGTTCTTTTCATTGTAATCTTTGATCAAAATTTCCAGTTTCAACTGAAATTCGCCCGTCTCAACTCTCTTTGTGATCTGTGGTTGTAGCTCACGATGCATACTGCAGCCCTTGTTTCCTGACGAAAATCTATAATTTTTTGTCAAAATGTTCGGGCGCAATAAGATCCCTCACACAACCCATGGGGGAGTAGATAAATGTTTTTAGCCCTTCCACTTTAAAATCCCTAGTTAAAAAAGGCATCATTGTAGTCGTCTATTTTTGGTTTCCCACTATACATCGGTTTGGTAACCAGGCTGTAAACGTAAGCACCTTGATTTACATTCTGACAGGTGAGTTTGTCTGTAATAAAATCACAGGGACGTGGTCTACTAAACTTGTTTTTGAAAACTACAGCAACAACAGCTGTTATATTTCTGGCATGGTGAAGGTCGCTCGATATAGTGTGAGCCAAACCTACAGAAGAGTGCTGTTTGTAGCGGTCTATGACTTGGCTCATGTGTTCTTCAACCAACTTGATACCTTGATCTACAACCACTGATTTAGAGCTAAAAGACTGCTTTGTGGGTTCATTTTGTTTCTTCCTGATTAGCAATATTACAACCATGTCCGCAACTTTAGCCTTACTTTTCCTATTGAAGTGCATCCCATGAGTAGTCTATAAATGTCGGGGAAGTCAGTGGTTGGGAAGAATTTTTATTTGGTTTTCCTTGGCTATGTTTTCTATTTCAGAGTTAATATGTGAAATTTCCAAATCTAACTGCGACTGGTCATGTCTCATAGGCAGTGTTGCAAGAATCAAATTAGCATGGGTAGAGTTTTGGATTAGTCTATTTACATCATCCATAAGTTGCATTTCTCCAGTACTGTCAACATTATTTGTACCAGCTAGTACCAGCTAGTACCAGTAGGTGGTCGTCTGTATACAATTAACACCTCAAATGAGCTCCTATCACCACAATTAGTACTGTATATTCAAAACTGTAACCAGCACCATCTATTTTTACTTCCCCTCAACATTATCTGAGCCGGTTCCCACCTCCATGCGATGCTTTGTATTGTAACAGCCAATAATGATTAAGGAAAAAACTATGCTCCCTCATTTGGATTCCTCCACTCACTACTCTGTGGCCACTCAAGATCCAAATTCATATTAAGCCTTTCAATCGAGTTGCCTCAAGACTCCTAGCTGTTTTCCAGCCACTTTGTCGCTCCATCTTATTCTCAGTCTTCCTAATGGTCGACCTCTCTACATTCTTCGCATCCTTCTCTTTTATTCTCATATGACCAAGCGACCTAATTCTCCTACTTTCTATGTAGCCGTATCTGGTCCTCTGTAAAGGTTCATGTATTCTCAATTTTTCAAAATTCTTCGAACCCCATCTTTGAATATAGGCTATATATATATATATATTTTTTTTTTTAATGGAGAGGAAGGAAAATGCTTTTACGCACACAGGTAGGTCCTGTAGTGTGAGACTCCTGAAAGAGTGAGACTCCTTGCAAACAGCTCATGACTTTCCTTAACCAAGTCAAAAGATTTTGTTCTGAAGCTGTAAATCTTAACCCAATAAATAAGAAAGTTATGGACAAACTTTAAAAACCTCTCAGCTGATCTCCTTGTGATGGAGGAAAGTAAGTATGAAATACATTTATTTTGAATATTAAAATATATACAACTAAAAAAAAAAACCAATAGTGAAATTTCAGAATTTCTGATTATTCTAGCTGTTGAAATTTCTAGAGCTAATGTTAATTTTTCTTTTGTGTTGCAGTGATGGTACAAGGATGGGAGGCAAACATCAGCAGAAATACCCGCCAATACGTGTTACCGGAGAATGTGACCACCGCCATCAACGTAAACAACTTGTGTCCCTCAGATCTGTTCCTACTAGTTATAGTTTGCTCTGCCCCTGCCAACTTTGAACAACGCAGTGCCATCCGAGACACGTGGGCATCACTTGCTGAAGATTCTGCCAGAGTTGCCTTTCTGCTTGGCGAGTCTGATAACTCCACCTTGCAGGTAATATGTCCCTACTGGATAATAAACTAACATGAATAATGCATTTTTGTACTGTTTTGCTTGAGTTTTGGGAGCCAGATATTTCAATCAAACTGTAAGGTACCAAATTTTAAGGGGGGGGGGTAAAAACGTGCCATGACGAAACAAACCCCAAGATTTGCCCATTTACATCCACAATACCCTTAATCTGGGTCTATATGTTAGCCATAGTTCAAACTATGTGCAAAGGAACTTAGTCCTAGACTCATACACAATTAAGTATACCACACATTCACACGATATATTTATTTATAATAAATTCAAATCATCAAATTAAATCAAACCGACAAGATTATTTTTTTTTTTATTTATTACTTAGTACAGCACATATACAATGAATTTACAATACCATACTGCATAAGCCTTAAAAAAAAGGCTTGTCCGCAGCGTTTCTTTTAATACTAATTGTCTTTTACATCTTTATCTTGGTCTTGAGTCAGTGTGAACTATTAACTGTACAAAAATATATTTCCTACTTCTTAAACAGTAACAAATTTGGCTTATAACATTTTTACATGATTACAAACAATTTAAATATTGAAGGGGCAAAAAAAAAAAAACTGTAGAAAAAATAAATTAAATGTAAAAAAATAAGAACAAGTGTAAATAAGCAAGGAATCTTCTTAAAATTATTTAACATGAGTATATACTTTCAGATTACAAACATTTAACAAACAAATAGATATATAACAAGGAATAATAACAGCTGAAACAAACTTTATAACATATAATAAAACAGGAACTAAATTTTTAACAGTTGATAAAAGATTTATAATATATGTAAAATTCTGTAAAGAATAACGACAACTTAAATCAACAAAAGACACAACTAGTATTATACTATGACTTAACAATAACAATAAATAAGAGTCTTCTAAAAACGTTAACTACTCGGTCATATACCATTTTTTCAGTTTTACCTTCAATAATTTGTATGTTTTTATTTCTTTCATACATTGTGGCAAACTATTAAACAATGTAGGAACCAAATAGTTTCTTGTACGCTTTGTGTATTTATTATTAACAGTAGGAACAATGAAAAATTCTTTCCTAGAGTTGTATCTATGCACATTTTTTACTTTGAACCTGTTTGAAAAATAATAATCTATTATCAACAAATAAGTGAACAGCTTTTCCACTGGTAAAACCCCTGTCAACTGATAACACAACATTGGAGTTTCACTGACAACAGCAGAATCAAGCTTAGTGATAATTTTTAATATTCTTGTTTGAACAGCCTGTAGTTTCTGTAATTCTGATATTGATGCATTTCCCCATGATCTTAATCCATACCTAAGAATTGACTCACACATAGATGCATAAATTAGTTTCATCGTCTTAAACGGTAAATAGTCTCGTAAGTAATAAAGTTTTGAGGCACACACTCTAAGTTTATCTTTTATATATGCAATATGAGAGTCCCATTTTTAATTATGATCAACAAATACCCCTAGATATTTAAAACTTTTAACGCTTTCCAATATTTGACATTCACATTTTTCTTTTAAGTATGATTTACTATGCAGACAGTTATGTGAGTGTGCTTTCACTCTAGGTTCTTTGCAACTGTAGAAAGGTGAATGGACATGCATTATTTTTGATTTCTTACAGTTTACACTCAATCCATTGTCATGGCACCATTTTGTTATTTCTAAAAAATCTGATTGTATATCTCTTATCGCATATTCTAAATTTTTGTTTGATGTTACCAGAACTGTATCATCAGCATACATGTATATCTTACTATTTTTTATAATCTCTGACATTTCATTTACATAAATTAAATATATGAGTGGCCCTAATATACTTCCTTGCGGAACGCCATATTTCAATTTTTCCGAATTACTAAATGAGTTATTTATCTTGACCATAATTTCCCTATTGCTTAAATAATTCATAAACCAATTCTTGGTTTGACCTGTGATGCCAGCCTTGTTCAGCGCAACTCCAATTCTTTCATGTTTTAAAGTGTCAAACGCCTTTGAAAAATCTATAAAAATCACTAAAATTTGATTTCCAATGCTCAATTCACCATTTAAATAATCTGAAAAATCTGCCAATAGTTCATTTGTACCTTTGTTTTTCTGGTATGCATACTGGTAGGGACTTATTATGTTATTATTCTCTAAGTGGTTTGTCAGGCAATTTGCTACATAACGTTCCAGTATTTTATCTACTGATGACAAGATTGATATTGGACGATAATTTGAATAATCAAAGTGGCTTCCAGATTTATAAACAGGTCTAATTATTGCTTTTTTTAAAGATTCTGGTACTTCTGCATATCTGAGAGATGAGTTAACAAATTTTGTGATTGGACCACTTAATAAGTTTGCATACTTTTTCAAATCTGTAATTCTAATACCATCCAGCCCTGGTCCCTTCCTAGCCATATTATTCAGTAATTTCATTAATCTTTCCTTATTTAATAATGGTATATAAAATGTTGAACTACATTCTTTGCCTGGCATACTGTTAATCGTTGTAATTGAACAGTCGTGAATAACTTTATTAATGCCCTCAGTGAAACTTTTTGCAAATTTATCACATATTTCTTGCTCTGTCGATGTTCTTGCCATGTATTTCATCACAATACCATCTATACTTTCTTTTTTCTGTTTACCTAATAAGGAATTAATTTTCTGCCATGTGTTTCTTATGTTTTTCCTATTATTATCAAAGAACTTGTGATAAAAATTCCTCTTTTCCTTGTATATTTCTTTGTTTACTTGGTTTCTTAGTCTGGTGTCTCTTTCTTTGTAATGAATGTTATTTGGATGGTTCTTAAATAATTTAAAAACTTTATCTCTCTCTTTTTCTCTTTTATCATATTTAAAATAGCGTTGGTTATCCAGGATTTTTTAGGCCTTGTATATTTGTTCCTTTTAGTATCCACCCTACTGTCCCTGTATGCATTCGTCATGTTTGTGTACAGTTCTTTATAAATTTCTGTAGGATCACTCAAACATTCCACAGACTTCCAGTCCATCTGCCCCAATACCTGTCCCAGCAGCTGTTCATTGATAATTTGCTGTGGTTTGTTTGTGTGATAAGCTGGGCAGGAGTTGTCAGGCTGGACATTGATAACGCAAGGATAGTGGTCCGCTATCTTTATCTGTAGGATATCTGAGTGAACTTTGAGCTTCCTTGTTCTAAGATATGCATGGTCTATGCATGTCTGGCTTAGTTTTCCAGCTCTAACTTCCTCCCTAGTATAATCATTAACCCATTCACTTATGATTTTTTTTTTACCCGCCTAGGCCAAAACAAACGAATTTGTTGTGGCTAGTTTCATTCATTTCTGATTTAATTTTTTTTCAGGCAACATTTACTATTTATATGCAAGATATTATTATTTTCTTATTCAAAATTAAATGTAGATTCAAAATATATAAATATTTCCCAAAAAAATATAACTATAATTTTTTATTATACCATATAAAAATAAAATAAAAAAATAAAAAAATTAAAAAAAACTTTTTTATTGGTAATTTTTAGCTACATAGGGCTCATATATGTTTTGGAACTAGTCTATAATACTGTATGACACTTATAAAAACTCACCAAATGTCAAGCAAAGTTCATTTTGGTGTGGTATGCCTTGAAACACTCTGGCATGTGAAGTGCGACAAGGCAGAGCTCACACTCCCATCGGCTGTCACTGCGCTTTCCCTGGGCACTACACACCTTACATCTTCTTGAAGGTGTTTGTTTGACTTCATTTGGAGGAATAGGCCTAGGAAAATGTCCCCAAGTTGCTGCCTGGAGCCTCAGAGGTGTTTCTGAGTTGGATGATCGTCCTCTTCGATTGTACGGTGGCAGTTGTCGCGACTCAAACATTTGCTTGACAAACCTCTCCTTGAACTCACTGAACCCCAATTTTTTTCTGGTTAATTTTTTGAACACTACATAAGAGTTAAAAAGGCCAATGTCCATTATGTAAAAGAAGATCTTCTTGTATCCCTTAGCATACCTCCTCATACTAGGAAACGACGCTAATTGCTGATCCTCGCGGTCAATTCCACCCATTGAACGATTATAGTAGATCACTGGTTCTGGCTTTGTTATAATTTCTTGGGTAACTCTGTCTTTCTTGCCAGTTGATCTTTTGTCAGCTTTTTGATGAAAGGTAGACAAAATGCAAACTTGCTTCTTGTCCTGCCACCTTACTGCTAACATATCGTGGCTATAGGCTGTCTCGTAGTCGCCCAACTTAAGTTTACCCTCTTTGAAGCTCTCTGGCATGTTTGATCTCCACCAGTTAGCTGTTCCAATTACATTGAAACCTATTTGCTTAAGTCTATGGAAGAGAAGAGGTGAGGAGTACCAATTATCAATTGTCAGAGTATGTCCTTTTCCTGCCAAATCTTTTGTCATTTCAACGACTATCGCCTCACTCGTTAACAGCTTTTCCTCCTGTGTAGAATCCCCACTTCCTTCTTCAACCGGTACATTTTCTTTGACTTCAGCTCCAGTATAGATCTTAAATTTAGAACAATAACCACTTCCAGATTCACAACACTTGTAAAACTTTATGCCAAATCTGGCTCTCTTCTTGGGATTAAATTGGACATAGCCCAACCTCCCTCGGAACTTCATAAGACTCTCATCGACAGCTATGTTTTCATCAGGTATGTACAGATGGGAAAACTTCCTGTTCATGTACTCAATAACGTACCTTAACTTCCACAGTTTATCATTCACAGGTTTCCTATTATTGTCTGTAAGGTGGAAAAATGTGGACAGTAGCAAAAAACGGCGGAATGGCATCACTTTACGAAAAAAAGGGGTCTCAGTTACAGCATTAGGCGACCAGTATGATTGTATGGTTCTTTTTTTTACAAGCGACATAAGGACACACAGTGTATAAAAACAAGCCATCTCATCTGCAGTTGTGTCAAACCATTCTGAGTATATAGTTTTTCCTACCCCGCCTGCTTCGTTCTTTTTCTTAATTGTTT